TTCCTCTCTCTGAAATCAATAGACATATTTAGGAAAAAAATATCTCAATGGTTGGCCAGGCAAGTTAAGGAGGATGCATTTCAAAGTAAGGAAAAGATGGGCTATTGATTACTCATTAAACACTGTTCAGAATATTGGCTGGTCATTTAGAGAATATAGTTAAATTCCTTCACCCTTATACCAAAATAATTTTGAAGTAGATTAAAATTAAAATTTGAAAAAGGAAACCATAAAAGTAGGGGGGAAATATATTTGTAAATAAAGTCTGGAGTAGAATATTGACTGTCCTTCTTTTCTCTTTATAGTTTCCATTCTTTTTCTAGAGTTATTATGTATTTAAAAAGTGACTGTATAATTGTAAAAAGTTTTTCCTATGTTGAACACTTAGGCCAATATGAAACTTTGGGACAAAGGAAGTTATTTCTTTTTTGGGTCTGAGCGAAGCCCAGGCTTGGTTTGTTCTGACTGTAAGGATAATATTGTCTGTCTTTATTTAATTTTTTACTCACATGACTATTTTCTATGTTGTGATAGATGGAATGCTTATATATTCTTTATTTCTCAGTCATAAGGCATGAGGTCTCTCAGACAGTGTTCCCTGATGACAATATGCTAGTAAATATAACCAGAATAGTCACTCCTCCCTTGTGAACCTGAAAAGGAGTTAGAGCAATTTGCCCCTTGAAAAGTGGTGTTGCTTAGTAAAAATTACTTTAATTATATTTTAAAATATTATATTTCAAATGTAGTGTGTCCCAAAAAATGTATACACACCCTTTGAATAATTATAAAGGCAGTGTTTATTAAAATATATTTCATTTTTAAAATTGAGCTATCAGTGGTTAAAGTGTGTATACATTTTTTTGGGACACCCTGTATATGTACACATTCATTAATAAACATCACAAAAATACTTTACTGGCTGCTCTCCTTTTACATTTCCCACTCTGTCCTTTCCCTCCATTCCTTTCTCTCGTTTTGACAGCCATTTTAATGTTCCATAGCAACCCATGCATTGAGAATCAGGAAAAGAATCTATTTACTTGCAGAAACCAAACTGCACACTGGCCCTTTAAATAAAAAGCTTTAATTCTGTGAACTAGGTACTTACATAATCATTGGAAGGGCTGGAGCAATAGGCCCTAAGCTAATCCCCCTGGCATGACCTCAGAACAGCATCCCAGAACTGGCCTACTGGGAAGTTTCTGCCTCTCTCACAATCTGGAAGGTGGGCAGTGAGGAATCCCCCACTGGAACTGTATTCAAGAATGCGCTAAATTGCCTGGCCGGTGTGGCTCAGTGGTTGAGCATTGACCTATGATCCAGGGAATCATGGTTTGATTCCCTGTCAGGGCACATGCCCAGGTTGCGGGCTCGGTCTCCAGTAGGGGACATGCAGGAGGCAGCTGATCAATGACTCCCAGTCAATGACTCTCTCTCTCTTCATTGAAGTTTCTATCTCTCTCTCTCCCTTACTCTCTCTGAAATCAATAAAAACATTTTTTTAAAAAAGAGTCAGCAAACTTAAAAAAAAAAAAGAGTGCACATGTTAAGTGTGATCCAAGGATCAGGAAGCCACTTCCTCTCCAATTATTGGCTCTAGAGCCACTCTGCTCCTGCTAGACCCATACCAGCATAAACTGGACATCCTATCTCTAGCACTCAGAAAGCTGGTGACTGCACAGGGATTGATACTTTAGGAACCCAGTGTCTCCCTGCCTGTTCTTGCTGGCACCTAGAGCCAGAGCTGCAAGGAAGTTTGGGAAATGTAGATTTTTAGCTCTTCTAGTCTTTGCAAATCATGAAAGCACATGAGGAGAGAAGACTAGATGCTGCGTGCCAGTCACCATGTCTGCTATGCTAAGAACTTTTCCAAAATTATAAATTCAGTGAGTGTTCATAGCTTCTAATGAAAATTCATGTGAATATAGTTTTAAGTTAAAAAAACAAGATTTAGTCACTTAAGCATTTATTGAGTACCTATTATGTGCAGGCATTCTGCTATGGTTACAAAGGCCTCCACCCTTGAAGGTCATAGCCTCATGTGCACAACAATTTACCATAGAGTGAAATAACTGAAATACATATAAAAGGTTAAGGTTGGTGGTGCGCGGGCAAGCCAAATAGCCATCTCAGACAGTGAATAAAGAAAAATTGAATTTATTTAAGGAAAAGGGGATGGAGGATGGGAACATCCAAAGGGAAGGCTACATAGCACTGAGTCAAAAGGTATTGGGTCCATGACGGCAACAAAATATACTTAGGACAGTGAAACAAGGAAGGTGCATGGAAGTAACAGGAGAGCCTGGGCTGGGCTGCTGTGGCTCCCTGAGAAGCCAGAGAAGGGAAGGGGGCCTCGGAGACAGGTTCAGGCGGTAAGCCGGGGACGAGCTGCCGCCGCCCATTGCTCCCCTGGTTGCAAGTCTCCTGGGGTCCCTTAGAGGGAAGAAGGGGGAAGGAGATGGCGCTGGCCTGCTCCACTTGCTGGGTCCTTTGTCCTGAGGGCGTTTATCTCTTTCTTGCAGGTGGGAATCTTACGGAAGGTCTCAGGAGNCCCCCCCCCCCTCACTGGGTCCTTTGTCCTGAGGGTGTTTATCTCTCTCTTGCAGGGGAGAATCTTAGGGGAAGTTTCAGGGGAGGGTCTTAACAGAATATTCATCAGTTTTCTAGGTGTGCTCTTTCAGCTGATTGGTTGTTGCCAGGGCAGGGGGTCATTCATCATTGTAGCTGGTCCTGAGGCAGCCATGGTGTCATTTGTCCAGTTTTGCTGCTTTTCTGAGCCTGGAGCTGAAATACAACTGAGGCCTAAGATGTTATCTTTGGGGAGGAAATGCTCAGGGAGTCTAAACCGCATGACCAGTGATATGCTGGGGGAGGATAGGTTCCCCTGAGGACAAGGTTCTTGTTTTCCCAGTTTTGCCCCTTGCTAGGTGTCCTGGGCTTTCTGCCCTGGTGAGTTTCTGCACCTGAGTTTCTGTACCTGGCCCATCGTCCTTGCTCTGATCATATACAAAATGCAGTGGCAGAGAAAAGAAGTGATTAGCTCAGTCAAGAGTGGGGAGTTAGTGAGGAGTTGACCTTGGGTGGCCTTGAGCAATGGGTAATGCCCTTCTAGGACAACAGGGAGGTGGGCTTCCCACTCAGAGAAAGTGCATATGCCAAGGTACAGAGGGGGGAAACGGTGTGGCTCAGTCAGGGCCATTTTGTTCCTTAGAAATAAGTTTTCATACCATAACCCAAGTTTTAAAAAATTATTACATGAATTATAAAATCTTTGTTTAACTAGAAAACACCATTCTCATTTTAAAACATGTAACAAGTAGTAAACCTTCTAAAATAACATGTCACTGATGAACTGGTTTAGTTACTAAGTGAACTAGCTATTGAGCACATACTAATTATATAGCATCATAATAGACATTGAGGGAAATAAAAAAGAACTTTAAGAAATTGTCCTGAATTCCAAGAACTCAGGCGCAGAGGCACATACCAAAAAACTATTAAAAAATAAAATTAAGGAGTAAGGTGATATTAAAAATATTAACAAAGTTTACAGTTGCTGTACACTTACCATCAAAATGGATGCTGGCTATAAACAGCTGGTCCAGATGTATCGGTGAGCACCTTGAAATAGCAGCTCTGCTTGAATGTGTATGATTCTGTAACCTAAAGGTCCCTGGGCCCACAGTCTTTGGATCTGAATAAATTTGCATATCATTAACAGCACAGATAATTCCTGTTCCTGCCCACCTATACCCATAGGACCTCCAGTTTTACCACCCTAAAAGTCTTCCTGGGGGTTTTCCAGGGATTCCCTCATAGGGTGCCTCACATGTGCTGGCTTTGGTGGAGGTTGGTATGTTGTTTTAAGCCATGGCTCATGGAAGATGAAGGCCAGTCCAGGGCCAGGTGGTCAAGGGTAGCAGGGGTTTGGGAAGAGGAACATTCTCCACTCTGAAGCCAGGACCCCTGCCTGCCAGCCAGAGGAGCACCAGGGAACAGCATCTTTGTCTTGGTTTTGTCACGCTCAAGGTGGGTACCTTCAGAATTGCGGAGAGAGTCTTTCTGAGGACCATGGACAGAAGTCATCCACTGAGGGCAGCTGAAGTGGGGAGGGGTGGGCAATGCAGGTGACAGCAATAATATGAGCATGGTCCATGCTGGAAGCAGCTGGAAAATCAATCAATGTTTGGCCCAGCTCATTCCACCTGATCTTAAGAAATAATACACCCAGACAAGAGTTTTAAGCCAGCGTTTCTCAAAATATGTTGCTAGGACTATATGTGTCACAATAATTTAAAGGACTTGCTAAAAATGTGGATCAGTTGCATCCTTATGCACTCTAAAGTGAATACCACTCTAGACCCTTTTTTTTGAATGCCTATAGACATTCGTAGCTGGTATGCCCATTTTGTATTTTATTTTATTACTTTCCATTATTGCTTAATTGTTTGATATGTATGTAAAATCCTCATAGCTTTGTTCCTACACCCACGGTGACTGAGTATTTTTTAAAACTGGGTAAATCCAAAATTAAAAAGACAATTCTATCCCTCTATTATATTCTTGAATTTAAAAAAAATACACTAGCCCGGCCGGTAGTGGCTCAGTGGTTGAGCGTCAGCCTAGGATCCAGGAGTTCATAGTTTGGTTCCCGGTCAGGGCACGTGCCTGGATTTCGAGCTCAATCCCCAGTGGGGGGTGTGCAGGAGGCAGCCGATCAATGACTCTCATCACTGATGTTTCTCTCTCTCTCTTCCTCTCCCTTCCTCTCTCTGAAATCAATAAAGATATATTTAAAAAAATACAGTAAACACTGCAGAGTGGTACTTAAGGGCTTAGGCCATGTTTGTATTCTATTAAAGAATAATTCCCACATGTAACTGGAAGTAAGATTATTACTACAGCCTTAGAAGAATGGTAGAGTAAAACTTTTGATTATTTATGTAAATATATAAAAAAATCTTCCTGCTAATAAGTCTTTTCCCTCCCCAGATGTTAAACTAACCATGAAGAAAAATACTATCAATACACAGCGCTCTTTTGTAAACATCCCCAGTGTGATTGTACCAGATGTGGAAAATGAAATGAGAAGGATGGAAGATGGAGCATGCAGGTAACTATGCATTTTTCCAAAATTTATTTTTTAGTGTTGACACTATTACAGATGTCCCCCACTTGCTCCCCTCCGCCCAGCCCCCACCCCATCCCAGCCATCACCATGTGGGCTCTGCATATATGCATATCAGCTCTCTGGTTAATCTCTCCTGTCTCCCTCTGGGCTGATATCTGTCAATCTGTTCCACATTTTTAATACCAGCCACCGTCCTGAAACTTCACTAGGCTTAATTTCAATTTAACTTTTAATTTGTAACCTTGAACTTTGTAATTTATTTAATATAGCAAATTTATTCAAACTTTGGAATTGCATAACTTGTATAAGAAATAAACATAGATATATGTGTTCATTATTTAGAAGCTTGTGTGCCAAATAGTTCCTTAGTCACTGGCAAGACCTTTCACTTCTAAAGGGATAGCATTGCCGTAGATAAATGTGAAAAAAAAAAAAAAATACAGAGAGCAAAGTGCTAGCACGTTTTAAAAGTATAATTTAAAGCAGTTACCCTGTAAATAAAGAGAATGTGTATACGTGTGGTTGAATACATTTTTCATGGAAGGAATGTTTTTACAGGTTGGTCCATACATCTGTATAGTATGACCTAAAACACAGATATCACACTTTCTATTGGGTAAATGTTAGCATAAATCAATATACCAAACAATAGAAATGTGGAAGACCTAGAAAGTATTTTCTTAACTACATCTCTCACTGAATTGTGCCTATAATTCTATGTATTCTGTCCAGTTCTCATTTACTCTAATTAAAGTTTGCGGGGTGTTAGTTGGAGAGGGAAGGAGACGGCACGAGGCAACAGTGCCCTGATGGGAACTGGAGTCCCCCCCAGCTCCTTAGAACACTGATCTCATTCGTCTCTCCCTCCCGCTGGACCGCAGCTCCCTTTCTGATGATGACGACGGTGCCTCTATATTTGAAAACTCTGAGAGTGAAAACCCCCACGCGAGGGATCCCTTCAGAAGGGGAGGACCATCACAGAAGTGAGCAGCATGACCTACCCCTGCACCCTGGGTTTTAAACCGTTGTTTAGATGAAAGAAAGATCTGCTTTCCCGCAGGGGACTTGGCAAAGGCTCCCTCTCCCTCGTCACTAGGCAGGGTCCCGGGGGGAACTCACCACTTCAGTTCCTGACCCTTTCCTTTTCTTGGGAAACCTGATTATTCATGTCCATGGGGCTCCAAGTAATACATACTCTTGCTGGTCATTTTCCCTGAGACACGTGTCTGTCTCTTAAGAAACCTCACGCCCCAGTCCTCTCTGATTTCTTCTTTCTGGTCCTTCCTCTGGGGTCCTGAAGCAGTTTTTTGTCAGAGGGGTTGGCTGTCGTATTTTAAAATGCTGCATCCCATTTGACCCCCATTTCATGGACGTAGAGCACTGGAGTGAGCAGCTGGAAGAGCTTAGAATCCTTCGTAGGAATAAAGCTGTCGTGGAAACTTCAGACCTGGGACTCTGGGTGCGGAAGGAGTGTGGTGTTGGTGGGCCAGGGGTTCCCATCCTAGGGAACATTCACTTTTGCTTTGCTGTTTGTCCCTTCTTTTTGTCTTTGGCTCCTATTTCTCTTTTCACTGACCACCTCCCGCTTTTCCACTATTTTCATTCGCTTTTCTTTCCCTTCCTCTCTTCCCAAGTCTAAGTCTTAGGTCTCTTGCTGGGAGTGAGTGGCATCAAGTTGGCTCACTGGAGACCAGGGAGGATGCTGCTTCTTGGTGTGAGCATTGATTAGAGCTTACTAATCACTTTGCTTCATGGCATGCCATTTGGCAACTCATGCTTCATGGAGGCCCTATATTTTCAAAAGTTGTCTAGACAATCATTAGTAATAAGTAGAAACTGAAAAGAATTTGTTCTTTAAGACTGCTTGCTTACCATGTCCATTATATGGATGGTGAGTACTGTGATTTCACTGTCCTTTTTCATTTCCTAGGGAGCAGTCCCTGCCTGGTGTCATCGCACTTTTCAATGTTAACAACAGCAGCAATAAGGAGCAGTAAGTACATTTACAATAGAAAACTAAAGCTTGCTTTTACAGAAAACCAATAAAAAGGTAGGGATATATCTGAACCTGTTATAGAACAGGTATTAGGAAAACTCCACCTAATACAATGGCAATGATATGTTATTTTGTTGTTGGTTTATGTACTTCTGAAAAATGTAGCTACCCATATTAAAAGTAGTATGTATGTATGTATTTGAATACTATGAATAACTATGAATTACAATTATGGGACCCACCCCTCTTTGCAGGGTAAGCACTGACGTGGGTCTCTATTATTTCTAGATCCTGCCATCCCTTTTGCTCTCAGGGAATCCAGTTCTGTACCAGCATCTCCTATTATCAGCTCTGGCCTACAGAAGACAATACCACTGAGCTTCTGAGTGATGCTGGGCCAGCCTCATCAGCACATTTCTTGATACTTTTGCATTCTCTGAGTCCTCTTAGGGAACATAATCAGCTGGAGGGCTAGCTTCCTTCTGCAGTAAATCCACTTTAGCATCCCACTCTCTGAGTCTTTCTTGATACCTTCTTCTGCCATCCTCCATGGCATTGTATAGTTTCTATTTCACTTAGCATGAGCCCTCACCTTTTCTGAGCTTCCAAGAGCCACTTGAATAGTGCATCAAGACCGACCACCTCCCAGGATCGATGCTAGGGTGTTAGATCCTGCATCACAGGAGTGTGCTCCCATAGCAATAAATTCTCCCTTTTTCAACTTTATTCTCTGTTCCCTTTTGACAGGATGACCTTAGATGCCACGCCTCACTTTGCTTGTCAATTTTACCTCCTAGTTCTCCTCAGTAGCAGCTTTCCACCTCTGCTGGGTCATTTCTACACGAATGAAATTTATTTGTACATTTGCACCTAAACATTTTCCTCCCTTTAACACCCTCCCTCTTCTCAAGTTTTCCAACTCTTGTTCATACTTTGAGGCCTAGGTGTAGACCTATCTCCCTTTAACAGCCTTCTCTGAGGATCCTAGTGACAGTGAGATGCCTGTCCTTTTATGTCTGAATAATAAATCTTACCAAGACTTTGGAGTCAACAATGGCTGAGACCTTAGGTCTGTCTGCCTGACTCCAGAATCCATTCTTCTGCGGATTGAGAAAATCAGTCATAGAAAGAGGCCTCTAATCACGTAGTCTCCACTCAAGAAGAAATTATATGTATATAAAGATCTCAAATTCTGTGAATGATTCTAAGAATCAGGATTCCATTGTGTTACCACAGAGTTTTTTGACTACTCATAAAACAATTGCTTCAGGCAGAATTAACCCTCTACAAAAAATTGATGGCCTTTCCTTGAAATTCTCAAAGCTCTTATTCAAGGGTAAATATAAGTAATATCAAGAATCTTATATTTTAAATAATTAAAAAAAAATACACATGGAGGCTTTGAAAGTGTACTCTTTTGGGGGCTGCTGTTTCTTAAATTTCTCTCCTTGGGTTCATGCCTTGTCCCACCTCCGTGTTCTCAGCTGCCCACATGCGCCCACCCAGGGACTGCTGTTTGTTTGCTTTGTTACCCGGATGCATGCACATTTTTTGTAGAACTCACCATTAGGAGACCAGATTTCTGGCTTCTGAGCACAGGGGCAAGCCTTTGAATACAAAGCTGAGAATTCTTGCTCAGTGGACAGGAAAGCAATAAGAATGAAAGTCAGAATGGAATTTGATTTTGTCATGGAGATATTGTTTCCTCTCTAGACAGCCAAGAGAAAACAAGAAAAAGAAAGGAGAGAAGAAGAGGTAAGTCAGACTCCCACATTTTCCTCCCACAACATTTTTGTATTTTAACACTAACTACACTACATCTCACCTTTTTCAGCAAGTCAGATGATAAAAATGAAAATAAAAAGGACCCAAAGAAGAAAAGGAACAAAGAGAAGCAAAAGAAAGAGGGAAAAAGAGACAAAGATAAGAGAGAAGAGTACGTTTCTTTTTACTCTCATCGAAATTAGGAATGCACTTGTGATGGGTTTTGGATCCAGGGATAATTTCCCAAAACGATATAATAAAAAGGCCCAATGTGAAGACTAAATAAATTGTTATTAAATATAGATTACATTTTTTTTCTTATTTTCTTAAAATTAACAATGGAAGCCTTGTTCTTAGTTTTCTCATCAAAAATTGTCACTGTTATCATTAATTCCCTTCCCCAAGCACTGATAAAGATAAGCTTACCACTGGGAGATATTTAGGTTCCAAGGAGAATTGGACTCCTAGGATCTTAACATCAATTCTAAAAGTTGAAATATAAATTTAATGATTTCATTAACATTCTTGCATAATAAATACTGTATGGCAAATAATCCAAAGAAGTCTTATTGCAAAAGCCATGCCTAATTTCAAAAGCAAAAACACCAGCCATTTGAAAGATCCTTTTTAAAACCAACATTTGAGAGTTGAGATTTCACAGTGGTAAGGCTGAGTGATATTTGCAAAGCTCTCTTTTTGCTTTTTATTAAAGGGAAAATTGTTCTCTAAACTTACTTAAAACTCTTTACCACACCATGGTTCAGTTATTTGTGCCTGTTAGAAAGTTGTTGAAGTTTGTGTAAAGGGAAAAGTTCTTAAAAATATGGACTTGATACTAGAAAGATTCAAAAATTTTCACTTGAACATATATTTTCTTCCTCCCTCTTGCCCACTCTTTCCTCTCTTAATCCTTTGTACATGCTTATGAACAACAACTTGTATTAGATTGTGTTATATTCGTCTTTCCATACAGATTAGAAAGAAGCCATGAGCTCCCCTCTCATAATAGAGTGCGTGGTTCTTTTGTTGCCTGGTGGGAGGCATGGCAAAGCCAGCATTCTCCCAGCACCTATAACCTACCAGAGGGTCCTGTGAAATGTCCAGAGTTTGGCATAATCTGCGCGCATGATTCCTTCTTTGTGGCTGAAGTGATAGAAGTGTCTGCAGCATCACAGTAAAGCAAGGACTTTAATAAAGGCCCAATATGTGGTTTAATGCAGGACTAGTAATTTAACTCTCTAGCCACACTTCACTAACTAGTTTCTTATGGCTCGTGCACTTATGTCAAGCTGATCTTCCCACCGCAGGGTGAGCTCCAGCTTCCTTCTATTTCATTAATTGTGGGTGATGAGCACAATCATATTTGACAGGTAAAATTAAAATGTTTTTGTTTCTTGGTAACTTTCCCCTTTGTTTCTAATTGCTGCTAGGGAGAAGAAGGAAGTCATGGTTATTGATCCCTCAGGAAACACATACTACAATTGGCTGTTTTGCATCACCTTACCTGTCATGTACAACTGGACTATGGTTATTGCAAGGTTTCTATATATTTTTGTGGATCTCAGCTCATTCTGGTTTTTAAGTTGAATTACTTAACTGTTGAGCCTAGACCTCTTCAGGACATACCTCTTTTCTCCACTACGGGATGTAAGGAGATGCTACATTATACTCAACATGTTTTTTTAAGATCAGGAGTAGATGTTTTTGTTCCCAGTATACTTGGAAATCCAGTCCCAGGATGGGGGAATGAAGAGGATACTTTAACATTTTTGATTGTTCAATCATTTAATTAGAAAAAAATTTTGCCAACATTAGAAAAAGGTCAAGGACCTATGTTGCTTTAGGGTAAGGTGTGTTTCTCAAATGATTTCTATGGTTCCCGTCTTTTAGACAATAAACAGCTCAAACATCCAGGACCAGGTGCAGTTTCTGGAAGCATTTGGGGTACTGACAGTCAATATGAACCTGGTTATTAGTGTGTATGATCCCTTGTATTTGACTTTAGCTCTAGGCCATTTATTCCTATTTGATGTGTTCATAAAGCTGACTAGTTTAATGGAAAGAATGTTGGAATTCAGAAGGGTAAGGAAACAAATCTAAGCAGTCCGACATGGGAAAAGATTTGAGAAAGCCATGGTTGATTCAATGGACTCTAAGGACCCCTCCTAGCCTTATACTTTTTCTCATTATGATAAAATTATACAAAGAGGACTTTTACTTAAATTGGCCCCATTTGTTTTACAAGTTTTTCTTTTACAGAGCATGTTTTGAAGAACTCCAGTCTGATTACCTAGCATCCTGGCTCGTTTTTGATTACTTGTCAGATGTAGTCTATCTTCTCGATATGTTTGTACGAACAAGGACAGGTAAATATGTTCAGTTTGGGATATTTTGCAATTTTATGCTTTTATCTCTGTAATATAATTTGAAAATTTCTAATGAAAGCATTCTTCAAGATAAACTCACAAAAACCTATTTCAGAGGAAAAAGCACAGTTGAAAGCAAGAGTGCCGGATTTCCACCCAAGGGCTCAGGTCGCTCTAACTGATTCAGGAGGACGTTTCTAGGCAACCTTTTGAATGCGGTTGGTGGCGTTCCTCTGTTACCCTGTTCATTGGGGTTTATGCCAGATGAAAGGAATAGGAAGAGCAGAAATAGTCTGTCAGCCCTGTGGGAAAGGGAAATTGCTAACTAACAGAGAGATTGAAGAGGCATGGGGGAAAGTGTCACTGTACCCAGCAGAGCTGTATTAGAAATTTTGTAAGAAACAGAACACATATCCTTAACTCCACTTTGTGGTCCTTGGTGAGGCATTATTGATCAGGGGGAAGGATCTAATAGCAACCTACTTGAAGTGTTCTTGTTAAGTTCATTGTTTCTACACTGCTCTCCACATGCAAATGTAACAGTGAACACAGAGCATGGCTTTTAAGAATTGTAATGTAAAGTAGGGACATTCTCTGTTGAAATAAAGAGCTTTTCAGACAAAAAAGGCTAAAGGAATTTATCACCACCAAATCAGCATTGCAAGAAATGTTAAAGGGACTGCTGTAATAAGTTGAAATAGAGAGAATGAGACACATGGGCATAAAGAAATAAAATGGCAATAGATAAGTACCTATCAATAATAGCTTAAATATAAATGGATTAAATATCCCAATCAAAAGACATAAGGTAGCTGAATGGATAAAGAAAACAAGACCCAAATATATGCTGTCTACAAGAGACCCACCTCAAAACAAAAGACTCACACAGACTGGAAAAAACGAAACAAAAAATTTCTGGAGGACTGTAAAGAAGAGATCGACAGCAATACAGTCATACTCGGGGACTTTAACATCCCACTGACTTTATTGGATAGATCGTCCACACACAAAAATCAACAAGGAAACAGTGACTCTATTTTTTTTTTTTATATATATATATATCTTTATTGATTTCAGAGAGAGGAAGGGAGAGGGAGAGAGAGAGATAGAAACATCAATGATGAGAGAGTCATTGACTGAGCCTGAAACCCAGGCATGTGGCCTGACCGGGAATCAAACCTCCATCTCCTGGATCCCAGGTAGACACTCAACGGCTGAGCCACACCCGACCAGGTGGAAACAGTGACTCTAAATGACACACTAGATCAGATGGATTTAATTGACATTTACAGAAGATTCCACTCTAAAGCTGCAGAATAGGCATTCTCCTCAAGTGCACATGGGGCATTCTTAAAGACAGACCACATGTTAGGACGCAAAACAAGTCTCTACAAGTTCAAGAAGACTGAAATCATATCAAGCATCTTCTCAGACATTTACACCATGGAATACTAGGCAGCTGTAAAAATAAAGGACCCCTTACCCTTTGGGACAGCATGGATGGAACTGGATACTATTATGCTAAGTGAAATAAGCCAGAGAAAGGGAGGTGTCACATAATCTTACTCATATGTGGAATCTGATGAACAAAACAAACCGGTGAACAAAATAGATCCAGAGACACAGAAACATGGAACAGACTGATGAATCTCAGAGGGAATGTGAGTGGGAGGGGAGAGATTAACATAAGAATTCATACACACATATGCATGACCCGTGGACACACACAATAGTGGGGTGAAGACCTGAGGAGAGGGGTACAGGGTGGAAGGGGGGTCAATGGGGAAAAAAGGAGACATTTTTAATACTTTCAACAATAAAGGTAAATTTTTAAAAAGTCAAGTAGGGACATTCTCTAAATATCAGCGCACTGGAGGAATGTTTAGTTGCTGTGCCCCATTCGCAGCTCTGATAGTGCAGGAGGAGGAGCGAGGTGTATTCCTAGTGAAATGTAGCAGTGCTGAAATTCTGGGTTTAATGCACAAGGCCCATGGCAGCCGTGCAGGAGGAGAGAAGACCCCACGTGTCTGAGGAAGCATGGGAGGGTGGCAGCAGCCGGCAAGGAGATGTGCAAAAGCTGCCAACGAGGACACATGCTTCACAGCGAAGGAGCAAGGAAAGAATACATATAATGGTTCGAGAGTAGGGCAGGCACCTAAGTTTCAAAAATGGGGTTGGGGTTCTATCAGGAGAGTAGCGTGAGGTATAAGCTCAGTGCTCAGGTGTTCAGGAAACTTTCCAAGAACACAGTTCATAAAAGCAATGGAGATACTGGACCTAGAGAGATTTGTGTATATACATGGTGTATAATTTCTCACTTTTGCACTTACAAAGTTTTACTTTTTATTTCTGCAAAATAATATTTTCTATAGCTACATGTTGATTGGCACATGCATCTTATTACCTGGCTAAAAGCATTCTTACTGAGATTGAGTTTTTGTTTTGAACTCAGCGAAGTTCATTGAGAGTTACTTTAGAAAAAGTCACAATAGCATAAAAAGAAAAAAAACATTAAATTGATTTTTTTTTCTATTTTAGGTTACCTAGAACAAGGACTGCTGGTGAAGGAAGAGCTTAAACTCATAGAGAAATATAAATCAAATTTGCAATTTAAACTTGATGTTCTATCAGTGGTACCAACTGACCTGCTGTATTTTAAGCTGGGGTGGAACTATCCAGAAATCAGATTAAACAGGCTGCTAAGGGTCTCTCGAATGTTCGAGTTTTTCCAGAGAACAGAAACAAGGACAAACTACCCGAACATCTTCAGGATTTCTAACCTTGTGATGTACATCGTCATCATTATCCACTGGAACGCATGTGTGTACTATTCCATTTCCAAAGCTATTGGATTTGGAAATGATACGTGGGTCTACCCTGATGTTAATGATCCTGAATTTGGCCGTTTGGCTAGAAAATATGTATACAGCCTTTACTGGTCTACACTGACTTTGACCACCATTGGTGAAACACCACCTCCTGTAAGGGATTCTGAGTATGTCTTCGTGGTGGTTGATTTCCTAATTGGAGTCTTAATTTTTGCTACCATCGTTGGTAACATAGGTTCTATGATTTCCAACATGAATGCAGCCAGAGCAGAATTTCAAGCAAGAATTGACGCCATCAAGCAATATATGCATTTTCGAGATGTAAGCAAAGATATGGAAAAGAGAGTTATTAAATGGTTCGACTACCTGTGGACCAACAAAAAAACAGTTGATGAGAGAGAAGTCTTGAAGTATCTTCCTGATAAGCTAAGAGCAGAGATAGCCATCAGTGTTCACTTAGACACTTTAAAAAAGGTGCGCATTTTTGCCGACTGTGAAGCCGGTCTGTTGGTGGAGTTGGTCTTGAAATTACAGCCCCAAGTCTACAGTCCTGGGGATTACATTTGCAAGAAAGGTGACATTGGACGGGAGATGTACATCATCAAGGAAGGCAAACTCGCTGTGGTGGCAGATGACGGAATCACTCAGTTCGTGGTATTGAGTGACGGCAGCTACTTTGGTGAGATCAGCATCCTTAACATTAAAGGCAGCAAAGCTGGCAATCGAAGAACAGCCAATATTAAAAGCATTGGCTACTCAGATCTGTTCTGTCTCTCAAAAGATGACCTCATGGAAGCTCTGACTGAGTACCCGGATGCCAAAGGTATGCTAGAAGAGAAGGGGAAGCAAATCTTGATGAAGGACGGTCTGCTGGATATAAATATTGCAGATACTGGGAGCGACCCTAAAGATCTTGCAGAGAAGGTCACGCGAATGGAAGGGTCTATGGACCTCCTGCAAACAAGGTTTGCTCGGATCCTGGCTGAGTACGAGTCCATGCAGCAGAAACTGAAGCAAAGGCTCACCAAGGTTGAGAAATTTCTGAAACCACTTATTGAAACAGAGTTTTCAGCCGTTGAAGGATCTGGAGCTGAAAGTGGGCCCACAGACTCCACGCAGGACTGAAACGCTGGCTGTTCACAAGAACGTGCCTCATGATCCTTTCAGTGGTGTGACTAAGTGATGTGATTAAGTTTGAAGAAGAGGAAGGTTCAGCTGGGGATTCCACACGGGAAATGTGCTTCGGTGCAGGGCACGAGGCCCACATGCTTGCTTGGAAGGTACCATGATTAAAGAATCATCGTATCTTAGGATTTTCCACAATGGATACTGTGCAAAGATATAAACTGATGAACTTGTCAGTACCTGATTTCCTCTCACATATGCTCCCTTCATGTAATAATGTTTGTAAAAGTGAGCAAGTGTCCCTCACTCTCAGGCAACTTACACTGCTGAGGAGCACCTGGAAGTACCATGTGCATCATGTTCAGGATACTATTTGAAAAGAATTAGAATGCAATAAAGCAAAATACATTCTGAACCTGTAGTGACTATTATTTATTTGATAGTTTAGTGGGGAGTTTAAGATCTTGTAGAGCATCAGGGTCATTATAAGGATATTAATCATACCCTAGGCTTACAAAGAGTGGTTGAGAGAAACTTCTTACCGATAAAAGCATACAGGTCAGACTTTACTGTACAAATATATGCATATATGTTACGTATAAAATATATAACATTGAAAATTATAACATTTTGCAGGAATTTTTAATACTAAATTTAAAATTTTTCTGATTATTAAAGCCTGACAGCAGTGACCACTCTGACTGATCAGCAGTAAGAAAAAGGGATACAGCTAATAACATTGCTCGGTGATTAACCGGGAAATTGTTGTTATGATAGACAAGGTAACCTGGGGGTTCAGTGGACCAGCATGGGCATCACCGGGGAGCTTCTTGGAAATTCAGAATCTCAGGCCTACCTACTGTGTCTGAACCTGCATTTCAGCAAGACTGTTCTGCGCTTCTCAAGCTTTAATGCAGGCATGAGTCACCTATCTAGAGAGCCTGGAAGGAGCTGATGGGAGGATGGTTCTAGAAAAGAAAAAAGACAAGTGTGACAAGTGTGTGGCTATTGAGGACATTGCTAACCAATCACACAGCGCTTACTGCTGAGCCCAGCTGTGCTTCAAAATATTCTTCTTAACACAGATCACAGGAATTGATAAAAAACCTCTATCCCTGCCTATAATAACATGATTCAGTGTCGCTTCTCATTAAATTGACATGTGAAATACTTACATGGGCCTCCATCAGTGCACGTCAGTGATGTAATTTATTCTTCTCTACCTCCAGAATGCCCCCTGAACTGCACAGGTTATGCCTCTGCAGTCTTAAGTTCCCCTTCATTCTGCCTGTCTCTTCAGTACCAGCTGGCAAGGGTTTCTTCACTGTCGAAGTGGCTAGTCCTGGAGTGGGAGGGCTCCCAGTCACATGGAACATACTACAAGTGCTCCTTTTCTTCTGTTTTCTTTCTTATTCTTCTCATTCCTTCACCTTATCTGTGTTTTCCTCTGTGCTCTTTCTTGCCTGTCCTAAAAACCTCTAAGACTGTGAGGAAGCCTGCTGGCTACTCATGCCAGGCCGACGTAAGGTAGGAATGAGTGAGGGTCACGCACCCAGTGAAGCAGCCCCAATCTCAGCGTTCAGGGCTGGGTGCTTTGAGTCTGATCTGGGCTGGAGACACATCCAAGGGTTCCGACTTGATGATTTCTGACCCGAAGCTCTATGAGTCTTGTTATGCTCATACCCATTGGATGGTGGCAGATTCTTGGTTTAACGACTTGGGGTAAGTAGGGCTTAGCCAATTCTTTTCTTGCAGCTTCTCCAGGTGGAGGCTCTGACAGGTGGCTGCGAGGGCTCCAGTTTAGACACCTGGAGTGTGATGCAGAGGTTCACAACTGGGGTTCAGCTTCAGCAGGGGATATTTCAAAAAGAGACAGGAAATGTGCAGCTTTGGGGAGACTCATGGTAAGGTGTTGACCTGAGTACATGTGGCTGCCAAAGTCAGGAGCTCACCTTTTAGAAATCCAGAGACCAGCCATGTTCCAGGCTGATTCCAGACTCCAGATGGTTGTCTAGAATGAGCATCTTAACATATTAAGACTAGGATAGGTTTGGCATAAGGACAACGGAGGGCTGGCTGAAGTTTGGAGATCTTTAATAATTGCATCTGAGAGATGAGAGAGAGAATTCTGGGACTCATGGATGGATGTCAGATCAGTGGGGGAGCAGAAACCCAATCACTTAGTCCTCCCATATGTCTGATGAGTGTCCCCCAGCTCTACCATAATGTAATTAATGCTACAGAGTTTTGCAGATCACTATAGAGTTTTGCATATATATATATTTTTAAAAAAACTTTTACAACTTGAAGTATGATGTGATTAAGCTTCTTACCATTAGGTGGCAATGTTGGTCTACCATAATCACCTTCAAAGCCCGAAGCTGAATATTTTTCTTCATAAAAGTTATAGGTAGTAAAATCAGAGCTCTTTGGGCAATAATGGGTAATTTTTTTTCTAACATGGATATTTCTGGAAGATTTTAGTATAGCAAAATATATACCAGCCTAAAATAAAAACATGATCAAATGGAATTTAAAATGCAAATTTAATAGATAAAGTAACAAGATAAATTGAAGCATGTTAGTATTTCTTAATTTTAGGAAGTTCATCAAGGCAATAATGATAATTACATTACAAGAAGCTTTTACAAACATGTAATATATGTATTAGAGGGAAACAAATGGGAAAAAGGAGCAAGCAGCAATTATATTGTAATTCAGTTTATATATTTTTTAAAAGTCCATTGTTTTAAGAAATGCGAAAACTACTGATCTATGTCAACAGTGTTGGAAGTATGCCTGGCTAAGACACTGTCAGTTTAGGTAACATTTTCCCTTATTACTAATGAAATTATATTATTGGATGTACAAGTTTTTAGACTTAAGAATATAAAAATACCCAACTGTAGGCTTCTAGACTCAAGTGAAATAGTTTGCTATTCACTGGGCTATTTTTTCTCTAGGTGAAGGGAGAGAGGGAAATTCACAGAAAGGGAATCAGAGAACATAGAAAGTGCAGAAAGACCCTGGAAACCATCTAGTTCACCCCTTCTCATTTTATAAATACAGAAATGATGAACAGGCAACACTAAAACTGGTGAGCGTGTAGACTATTAGGAACTTTGAGTGAGAGTGGGAATTTTTACGATATGTTCAACCATGATATGCTGATATCTGCTAGAACCCAAAGTTGGGCTCACCTAAAACCCAAACATGTAATTCTTACGCATAGTCACTAGAGAAAATTGGCCATGTGCACAAGGAGACATGCTGAAGAATTTTTATAATAGTAAAAAAAAAAAAGGAAACAACCTAAATGTTCATCAAAAGGAGGTTAGATATATTAATTGGGATACTGGGATATATTCATACACCGATTGCTATAAAATGTTTGAATAGTAACAGATTATACTTATATAGTGCTTAGTTTGTGCCAGGTACTGTTCCAAATACTTCCCGGATGTCAATGCATTTAATCTTCATGACAGCTTATAAGGTAGGTTCCATTATGTGCTCTGTTTAATGAATGAGGAAATGGATTCACCTAGAGGTTAAGTAATTTGCCGAAGACCCACAGGAAGTGGCATGACCACTCTTTGAACCCAGGCAGTGAGGTTCCAGGGTGCCTTCTCTTAACGCTTTCATTAGTGCTGGCTCTTATCTGTACACATAATATCGTCTACACAAAATTTACAAACATACAACACACCACTAAGTAGTGCTTATGGATCTGTGCCTATGGTCTAACAGTTAATAACAGTCATGGGAGTGGTAGACAGCAGAAATCAGAATAGTAGTTACTCCTGTGGGGGATGGAGTGGGGCGGGCTGGAGGGAGAGAAATTCATAGGACTTCAACTGTCTGTGCTGTTTTATATCTTTTAAAACAATCTGAAGCAAATGAACCCAAATGTTAAGATTTGATAAACCTAGGTAAAATATAAATATATATCCTTTCTATAATTTTTGGTGTATTTGAACAAGTTCAAAAGAAGAAAAAAGAGAAGTAAAGGAGCTAAGTCTGAATTCACATAGTTTAGTGGCAAAGGCTGGACCTTTGACCCTTGGTTCAGTGTTTACTTCGCTAAGAGGTTGTACTTGATTCCTTTCTACACAGACCAAATTGTGTGCTTTATGAGGTTCTACTTGGTGACAACATGCCTGTTATCTGTATGTTTCCACTTTAAGCTAGAGTGCATATTGAGTACATTTGAGACAGTACTTTCTAGAATTATATTTCACGTCTGGCTCTTGGTTTCCTGATGAATTAGAGGTAAAAGAATGCATTTTTCACCAATGCATTCCTTTGGGATTCTGAAAATAGCCATTTACCACAAAATTACTCACCAGCCTGATAATGTAGGCCCTGAAAAAGAGTTGGTATTGGATTTCTTGACAGATTGCCATTTTTCTTTTCAGTTAGGTTCCTTTTTGTTTTATCTGGGCTGAACTTCAGCCAGTGGGATTTGGTCCAAGAGCTTCTTGAGTTAGTTCTTCAGAGATCAGGGAGCCTGTTTCCTGGGCTTGTCACAGCAATTCATGATGCTGAGGAGCACAAGTATCCTGGTGACACCAAAGTCCATGGAGTTCCATGATATCCCCCATGGCCTCATTGTTTACATTTGGCAGAAAGAGCGACAGATAAGCCACCCAGAGCACTTGGGATATGAACATTTGCTACCATTATCTCAGGGGCTGTAGGGTAGAAATGTAATTTTTTCCACTCATTTTTTAATGTAATAAGTCATTCTCCATAGTTCCTTGGCTTGCAAAAAAATAATAAAAATACTGACACTTAATGGATCTATATTACAGGAATTTCCATTGCTCCATTCAGATGTAATATCAAAATACCCAAAGAGCACAAAATAAATACAATTATTAAAGAAATATACCACAAGAAATTAACATAAAATTTGCTTTGATTACATTCCTTTTATTTTATGTTTAAAATAATTGGGTGTTTGAAATTCATGGATTGGAGATGGTGAAAGAAAAATG